ATCGCGATTATCTTTTGCTGAACATTACATATCAAGTAGCTAAATTGCCTCACTACTCAACAAAATTGCAAGAACTGAACCTAAATTGCGATTATCTATTAACTTTTTTTTTTTCCTCATCTTTATATCTCCAAAATAAAATTAAGGTATCAAAAAGAATTAACAGAAACAATTCCAGAACAGAGTTTACTACAATCCAACAATTTTACACAAGAATTCCCCACAAAAATCAAATTTTTAACATCCTACATGTATATGTACCATAAGATGATTAACCAAACAAGTATATTTCATCACCTAAAATAGGAAAATCAAGTAAAAATATACAAAAATGGAAAAGCAAAAAAATAAAAATAAAAAAAATTACAGAACATTTGGCAAGTCAATCTGTACATTATGATCATCAACAGATCGAGCAACAATAAAAATTCAGAAACAAAGTTTACGTGTAATAGGGGCCTAAGATTCCTCAAAACCCATGTGACATGACTTTTACTAAAAATTCACCCAAAAAAATATATTCAATTCTGATTAAACAAGATAGGCTTCAATTAGAGAAGAATGGTGCCGCGAAGAGGAGCCCTAATTAGAGAATAGTGGTGCCGCGAAGAGGAACCCTACTTAGAGAAAAGTGGTGCCGCGAAGAGGAGCCCTAATTGGAACGGTGGAGGCGCGGAGCCGCGAAGAGTGGTGTCATCACTGTCGTCAGCCCGTGACTGCAGTGGGAGAGGCTAGAGAGGATGGGCGGAGAGAGCTTAGAGACGGAGGAGTGACGGGAGTCGGGAGTGGGGAGAGTTAAGAGACGCGGGAGAGAGTTTAGAGGAGGAGGAGTGGAGAAATGAACGAGGGTTATAATTTCTTTCCTTTTCATTTCATATTTAAAAAAATATAAAAAAAAAAAAATTCTTTTTGCAACATTTGATAAACGTTGCAAAAAGTACATTTTTCGCAACGTTTGAATACGCGGGAGAGAGTTTAGAGGAGGAGGAGTGGAGAAATGAATGAGGGTTATAATTTCTTTCCTTTTCATTTCATATTTAAAAAAATATAAAAAATATTCTTTTTTCAACATTTGATAAACGTTGTAAAAAGTACATTTTTCATTTGATAAACGTTGCAAAAAGTACATTTTTCGCAACGTTTGAAATTCAAATGTTGCGAAAAATCTCACTTTTTCAAACGTTGCGAAAAGTGAGACTTTTAGCAACACTCAACAAACAACACTCAATAAACGTTGAAAAAAGGGGTCTATTGCAACATTTATTTTTAAAACGTTGCCAAAACTCATTTATACTAACCAATAGCAACATTTACTTCTTAAAATATTGCCAAAAGACCCTATTAGTAACATTTATCAACAAATGTTGCATTTTTAATGTTGCGAATGACTTTTTTTGTTGTAGTGAATGTGTGGTTGAAAATAAGTATAAGCTCCCGTTTGATATACGTTTTGAAGGTAAGAATGCATTTTTATTATTGTTGTAATGGAAAGTATGTTGTTGAAAAAGAAGGAAGAGTTATTGATGTGATGAAAAATATTATTTTATTGAAGAATGTGTGGTTGAAAATGAATAGAAGAATGAGAATGAAAAAAATAATGTGGACCAAACATGGCCGAAGAATGAGAATGAAAATTTTAATGTGGCTCAAACATGTGCCAATTCTTGTATAATAACTCTAATTTCAAATAAAATTTTTAATTAAAATCAAAGTAAGAGCTTTGATTAAAGTCCAAATCCAATTAGTTTACATTTAATTACGTTCTATAACTTCAATTACAATTATAATTAAATTTATAACTTTATAATAATTATAATTAAGTACAAAACTTTATTGTAATT